ATCTGCCTAAGGAAAGGGATGCCTTCGTGGATGACCTTTATCGGAAAATGGCTCATATACACGCTACACATGGAGAAAGCCACGAAAACGCTCATCCAAGTCAGCCGGGATTCGAACCTCGGACCGAACTACCAGTGTTCAGCGATTTTACCGCTCGGCCGCTGGTGGGCCTGTTTCGAGTAAAAACACTGTTAAACATTGTCAAGCACTAAACATAGCGCACCTAAGCCACATACACTTTCTTCTCGTCGCCTTTTCTAATATAAGATTAGCATTTTTCAGGGAAGAAAATGCAAAAAATTATCTGTGTTCCTGTTGGGATTCCCAAGCACGAATTTTCAGTTACTAGATGGACTTGCTAAACACATACTCTACGAAAGCAGACACGGGAGATTCAAAGGGCGACTGGAAAAAGCACGAACTCGACCAAATACTGGTGATGACGAGTTCTTGCCTATCAATTTTAGTTTTAGAGCACCTTTAACATCTCTTTAAGAATTTTTGTAAAGATTTTTGTAAAAATCACCAGTACTTTTACAAAAAACTCATCTTTACCACTATTTTCCAAACCTCTTCATCACCAGTACTTTTACAAAAAACTCTTCATCACCACTATTTTCCAAACCTCTTCATCACCAGTACTTTTACAAAAAATTCATCATCACCACTATTTTCCAAACCTCTTCACACCAAATTTTATTCTTCATCACACTATTTTTTCCAAACCTCTTCATCACCAGTAATTTTACAAAAAACTCTTCATCACCACTATTTTCCAAAACTCGTCATCAGCACTATTTTTACAAAAAATTAGAATAGATTACTCGTCATTACCAATACTTTTACAAAACATTCGAATTCTAAGAATTCTACATTGTAAATATACTGGTGATGACGAGTTCTTGTCTATCACATTTTAGTTTTAGCGCACCTTTAATATCTCTCAGAATTTTTTGGAACAGGAAGGGCAAAAAATCACACATGATTTCCTTGTACGTGTTATTAAATTACATATAGTTTTGGCCGCAGTTCATTAAAACTTGGTTCATCAAATTATTCCAACTTCAGGGCAAGGATCTCTGAACTTTGATATAAATCAACTATAAGCATATAATAAGGTATTTTCACAGCATTTTTAATCAGAAAAACGCAAAAGTTTGTTTATGAACTGCTACGTAAAATTTAATGCAAAAGTTTATTAATGAATGGTTCGTAACGTTTCTGGAAATTATTTAACCGATACTGTACCCTTAATACTGAGAAAACATCCCTTATTAGAACAGAGCCTGCGTGAACCTAATGTAATATTTATGACATTAGGTTCACGCCGGTCATTACATCAGGTTTCTAAATTAAAATTAGCCCCCCCCCAAAAAAAAAACCTCAGTTTAGTGGAAATGTTTTCAAATACACACATTTTTTTTTTGTTCCTGAAAAAGAGAGACCTGTGTTTTATCTCCTCAAAATCAAGTTATTGAAAATCCACGTCAAAGTAAGGTTTTTTTTACCCCCGTAATTTAAAATAGCTGACTATAATCAAAATCAATGTATTTGGCCAATTAACCTCTTTCTTGGCGACATTTGTCAATTTTTATAATACATTTTAAACTTATTCGGCGACTTTATTTTTTATTTGGCTATTTTACTTCAGGGCAAAAATTTTTTCCATAACACTTTGATAGGCTCATCAGCGTCCGAGCGGTAAAAGCCGCTGAACACTGTTAGTTCGGTCAGGGGTCAGTCCCGCGAACGGGCTGGGTGCACGGGCGTTTTCGTGTTTTTCCCATGTGTAAGGTGGATACCAACCAGTTTCCCTTATAAAAAACATCCACGGGGCATCCCTTCCTTTTCGTGTAGTGCTAGGGCGCAGCACGTAATAAGTAACACTTATTAACACACATATTAACCGAACAGTTGATCACAATAAATGAGATAGTTTCTCTGTTTTCGTACAAAACAGGACGAGACTTCAGCAATCGGATAATAATATCCAAATGATAATATTAACCGAGACCATATTAATCAGATTCTACAGTAAGTGTAACAGCAATAATCTAAGTTTACGAAAGAGAAGTTTGGGAAGATTAGACAGCCATAGTGAAGCTCCTCTGCGATTATCTGTCATTATTGATGTTCTACCAGCTTAGTAAGCTTTTCTGCGATTGAAAATCTTTCTACGAGTATTGCGATTGAAAATCTTTCTAGTCGTAATCTTACTAGGATTTAAATTGAAAATTTTTATAATTTGTAAATACTTGAAATCACGTTTCCTGTTCAAAAACATATTTTATTAAATTATTTTGAAGTTCAAAATAAGCATTTAGGTGTTTTTTATAGTTATATTTATCCAGTGCTGTGGTGGTTACTAGTAAACATGGAACGAAATATGTGCGGCAGTCTAGAAGATTAGATTGGGATTTAGTTGTAAGTCAAGTTTAACCTTATTACATTTTGCCTTAGAACGCCCATAAAAGTGTATGTGCCCCTTTCGCCAGCCCATAAAGAGTCTGAGTTAAACTAATACGCCGAATAACGATTATTGGATGTGTTAAGGTGTAAGAATCAGAGTAATAGTCATGGATTTGCAGCACTAGTTTCGACGGTTTAAAACACAACCTCCTTCTTCAGCTGTAGATGTGCAAATGACAAAACAGAACCTGTGGTCAGGCGATAACATAGTAGCACCAGCAACTTGACTGCTTTCCTATCATTGTTACCACCTGAGCATAGATTTCCCTTTTCGTCATTTGCACGTCTGCAGCTGAAGAAGAGGGCTCTATATTGAAACTTATAAATGTACGATTAATACAGTCATTCTTGTTGCCTTAGCACCTCCAATAACTATATAACGGTGTCCCATGGGAAGGTATAGGCACTTTTACGGAGACTAGTTTTTTAACTTGGAAATAAGCAACATGTAATAATGAACTGGCAGTCTTTAGTCGCAGCATATTTATGCAAGTAGAATTTTAATTTATAAGGCAAACGAAAACGCTACTCACATAGCGCTGCCTAAAGTAAAAATTCTGAATGGCTTTTACTATGGTCAACACTGGCCGGCTTTCATAAAGGTGCGGAACCCCTACTCACTGATTTTTTTGCTTTATTGTAAACTTGCGAATTTCCATAAAGATTTTCTCTTTTACCCAGGCCAACACTGGCTAACTTGCATAAAGGTGCCGGAACCCTTACTCAGTGATTTCTTTGCTTATTGTAGCTTGGGATTTTTCATAAAGATGATGGCTTTTACGATGGCCAACACTGGTCGACTTGCATAAAGGCGCCGGAACCCTTACTCATCTTACTTATTCCTTTGCCTTATTTTAGGGTTGAGAATTTCCATAAAGATCCTAACTTTACATCCTACATATTTCCCAGCTTCAGTAAAAAATTAATACTATTACAAAACTACTATCAACTTACAGAACTGACATACATTTTGTTCAATAACTGTAAATTACATAAATTATTCGCAGATCATTTATTAACTTTTTTTAGGAACTGTCCCATTCTTTACACACACAAAAAAGCAATTTTCTGTTTCTATGCAACTGTAGGAACAGTTTCACTCTTACACGTTAGACATTAACCTGCGGCTCTTTGAAGGATTATTTGTGGCTCTCGATAAATGTACCCCAGTTCCCTTTTCATTTTTGTGTTATTATATTTTAAAAAATTATTATCGTTCCGTATGTGTTTCAAAATGTCTTTTAAATTACAGACAACAAATATGAAAGACTAAGTGCAACGTTGTAACAAATTTCATTTCCGTCCATCGTCTCTTGAATTTTCTCTGAATCCATTTGAAATTAACATAATTCAAGGTGAGTTTTCCATTCCCAATATAATTACGACCCAAAAAGCATCTGGAGAATTAGAATTAATAGAGATGCAAGAAGACCAAGCTCTACAATTAAAATATAAATCGACGCCGATGACTGAATTTTGGAATTTGTACCAGAATCGAAGTATCCTCAATTAAAAAAGGCTGCTTGTCGAATTATTTCAATATTAGGAACAACGTATTTATGTGAATCATTTTATTCCACTTTAAAAATTTATGAAATCCAAACACCGATCAGTTTTTACTACCAGCATTTCAAAGAATTACTGAGAAGTGCTGTCACCAAGTATTCACCAAATTTTAAAGAATTATCATGCAGCTCGCGAAAAATTTCAAATTTTGAAAAATGGCTCGGACAGTCAAGGAGCTTGGCCACTCCTGCTATATAGATTCCGAAATATTAAGAAATTTAAAAATCTTTAAATCTGATTTCAAATTCTATTTGCCATTTATAGGTATTTTTTCGCTCCTTCCAGCACGCTTTCGTGGTGTAACGGTCGCACACTCGGCGCATATTCAAGTCCCGGCGAGGGCACTGCTTATTTTTCACGTCTCCTGTTTCAAAAAAATCTAAAGACTCTACAGTGGAGCCCGAACCAAAAGGTGGTGGACGATAATTCGTCACCAACAGGATTTGACGATTGGAACCCTAATCTCAGTCGCCTTTTAAAGGGGGCTGTATATAAGGTATTTTCTTGCTCTTTACAGATGCCTTCGTGGTGTAACGGTAGCACACTCGGCGCGTATTTAAAAGGTCCTAGTTCGAGTCCCGGCAAGGACATTGCTCATTTTTCATGTCTCCTACTTCAAAATAATATAATGGCTCTGCAGCCCTATTACTTTATTACACATGAAATTACTATATTTACTAATTATTTATAATAGCAGATTCTGTGAAATTTTTTGGAAGAACATTTTTCAAAATTAGTTTCTTACATTAAAGTTAACATTTGTGCTTTATGTACCACAGTCTATAGGTTCTGTTCCAAATAACAATCACAGGGTGATTTATGGTATTGCGCTTTCGTTTCTCTGCAGTTATATCTCTACCTATACCTACTTCCTACATGACCCGAATATAGATGCTCACTTTCTCGTGAAAATAAGCGGCCAGTCGGAGGTGGTATTTATTTTTGAATATTTTTTGTGTTCTTACTTCTGTCTTTCTGCTGGTCCCCTCTGGAGGCGGCCATCTCAGAACCCGTGCAAGTGGTGGCATCCGAGTGGTTGCCCAAGTCGTTGTCCTCGTCATCGTCTTCGTCGCCCTGTTCGTCGGACGTGGACGATGCGGAACCCTCAGAAGAATCTTCCGAGCTGAGGCCAGCGGGATGCCTAGCACCTCGGTATAACTGTTGCTGCTGCTGACGCCGTTGCCTGGCAACCCGAGGAAGAGTCGATGTGGCGGCTGAAGAAAGGGGAGGTCCGTTGGTAGTAGCCTGGAGGGAGGAATACTGCTGCCGCTTGGCGTTCGAACCGAGCAGTTGTCCCCAGGATCCGAATTTGGCAGGGGGGTGGAAGCCCTCTACCTCGTCGGCAGGCGAGGAATAACGAACGACATCCGGCGTGGTGAAGTCTTTGGACTTTGGGAATGCCTCCTCCAGGGCGGAAACTGGAATTAAAAATGCAAGAACAGAGTTAAAAGGAGGATCAGGCTTGTTGACGAATAAATCCGTTTCCTTTCAAGGAAACGTCTAAATATTTGATCCACAGAGAAATCATAAATCCCCTCGACGCTCTCTGTTCCGCGAAACTGGTTCACAGAAAAGAAAAGATTTCGCTCTGTAACTCTAAACTCAGTTTTGATCTTCCGCTCTTTTAGATCCTAGACTTCATGCGTAGTAAGAAAAATGATAACGGCGAATTGAAACGGCATAAAAGCATACTATCTATCTCATGCAGCTGCCCTCAGTGTATAAATTTTCCTTTCAGAGAATTACTAAAGAGCACCCATTGTTTGCACCCAAACAGAGAAACCTAAAGAACATTTAGATTTGAATTTTAATTTAGCTTTCAGAAACTGGCAACAGCGTATTATTTTTATCTCTTTGTGATTATGGAGCTATAATGATGATGTTCTTCGCACAGTACATGTTTTGTTATGTTTAATAAGAGTTCCTTTTTCATTGTACACGGATCAGATAGCTTTTAAACATTCAATCTTTTTTCGAAGATGTTTTAAGAGCGGCACTGTTACCATTTGCATCCAAACAATAAATCTTTCGAAAATAAAGTTACGCAGTTTTTCGCAGTCCAAATTATTCGACGGAACTTATTATTAAAAATGAACATTAAGGTTTTAAAAAATTAAATACATGAAGCAATATAAAAAAAATTCCCCCAGACATTTCGTTTATGATCTTCTAACGTAAAAGTATTTACGATTGCCAATTCATGAAATTAAATCTATATTACTTACAAATTCAGCTCAAAAGGAAGCTCCTGTGTTTGTTTCTACATTTCTTATCTAAACATAAAACGGTATACGCGGAAAAAATGCATTCTGAAATTTAAATCAATCAATTTTATAAAAATTACGAAATTCACTTTTTTTACGGTCCTCGGGTCCATACACCTATATTTTTGACCAAGATATTTAGTTTCAAAATTTTGAATATCAAATGTCATTTCCATCTTGCGATGGTAATGTATCAGTTAATAATTCACTGGTCATTCAGAGCTTAAACTCCGCCGGATCCCATCGAAGCCCGGCTCTGATTGCTCTCAATTTCTGAGGTAAATCGTAATTCTAGCCCGCACACACCGGAAACCTAAATAAAAGGGTTCCGGCTCTTCATTTATGTAACTGAAACACGGTTTCAGGAGATAATTTTTATGCTAATGCATGCCTGTCTTTCTCCGTTACTTTGACGGCAGGTAAGACTTTGGGAAAGAAATGTCTCCAATCCACATCTCTTCTCCGACTCCGAGCATGGCCAACTACAGGAAGTAGTTGTAGTTGGAAGTAAATGGAAGTTCTTGTAGTTGGCCATGCTCCGACTGACGCACGCTGACCGCCGCGATTAGCTTGCGGTGAGCAAGATGTTTGCCTGCTGTCGTGAGGTGTGTCGCTACGTAGTTCGTAGAGCGCTTGAGGTGGAATGAATGCTGTAAATGCTGGGTCCAGGAGGATATCTTTCAGGTAGAGGCTTTTTCTTCAGGCAGTGCAATAAATTTATAATAGCGGGTAAAATGTTTTTTTTTCCGAAAGTACCAAAGTGATTACCTTAGTCGTGCCCATCCAGCGACAGTGACCTTTCACTGCAGAGTTCCTGCAGACTTGAACAATGTAACCGATAGGATTCCGGGAAAATTTTATTGTCCAATCCCATTCTGCTAGAATTACAGCTGCAAGGTTTCGCGGTGAGAAAACGTCGGTATCTTTTCCCGTTGGCTACTATTAGCTTCGAAAAAAGTAAAATTAAATTGTAACCCTCAGCTTTTTGAAAGGGAGAGGTTTTCCGAAAGTGTGAAGACCCCCTGTAGTGTTTATTCTAAGGTTAGATGAAAATTTTTTCGCTTTATTAGGTCGTTAAATACTCTCCCGGCAGGCAAAGGGGGAGGTCTCGGTTGACGCAGCTAGGTCATACCGTTGAAACGTTGGAAATTCGTTTTATTGTCTCTTTCATATTTCGTAAAACTTTAATGAATTTTTATTAGATAATTCAACGATTTCAAATCGAGCAATGGCAACACTGTACGGAGGGGAAAAAAAAACTTTTTTTATCTCCGGTTCGCGAGACTCTGTATCGAAAAATTTAAAGATAACCAACCTACTTTTAATTATTTTGCGATATAGCTGTTGAATTGAATTTTATGGTTTAAGTGCGAAGAACGTGATATTTAATAAATAAAGGTAACACAGAAAACGTTAAAAAAAAACGCCCCTTTGGGCGTAATATAAAATCTGATAGCTGCCAAACTGTTTTTTTTTAGAATTCATTTTATTAACTTTTTTCTTATTCTTATTTATTTATTTTTAGAAAGTTATACACACACATTACAAAACAAAAGAAAAAGTAATTTTCATCATCTTCATTATTAAATTGCAATATTAAGTAAAATGTGCGTAGCAAATACAATATAAACTAACATTGACACAGGATATGCGTAACACACGCACAGACACACATACCAAAAAAAAAAAAAAAAAGTTTATATGGGAAACAAAATTCATCGTAACTATCATTATCACTACTAATAAAAATTACTAATAATAAAAAAACAATGTTTTTTTTTTCCACCAAGTTTTAGAATCCCTGTTTAGGTAGTTTCCTCCTGATAGTTAACTATAATAAAAATCTTCATTTCGCAATTCCAGAGCAGCTTTATTCAACTGTTCAGTCGTCATTAAAAGTAGACGATATTATTTGAGATCGGTAGTGTATAAAAAACTTGCTTACCGTGAATGTGTATAACACCACAGATACTTTTCTTCGAAATATTTAGCAGTATTATAAGTACCGTATATTCTGCCGTATAAAATAAACTTTTAATACAAAACAATTTAAGACCGAAATTTAGGGTTCGCGTTATATGCCGAATATAAAAATGATAGATTAAAAATAAGGAAAAAATCAGTATACACAAATTAGACTTTTTACGTGTACCTAAATGCCGTTTATTGAGAAAAAAAAAAAAAAAATGACATACCTTATGAACTTAAAAATTCTCATTATTCGATAACATGAAAGGTTCGTCATGTTAGTCTTCCGTTACATGTTCAGGCACATGATGGAAGTCTCTTTCCTCTTCACATTTCACCAACATTAAATATCCTTATTGCAGCACAATTTCCATTTTCTTTCGTAAACTGAATGATTCTGCATTTGAAACCAGCACCGTATTGTTTAGTTTGGCAGGAGCCATATTTGCTCCTAAAAAGAACACTAGACAGTTGTATTTCAACTAAAGCAAACGCAATGTACACTGCGTAATAAAAAAAATTTTTAAAAAAGTAAAAAAGTAAAAAAGGACAGTTCTATATCTTCCGTTCTACTGGACCGATTCGCGAAATTTAACTTACGTTTTTCATGTCTCGAAAGCTCGACATAGGATTAGATTTATATAATGATCTAATTTAGGTATTTTGACACAAAATTGGACTTTTTCTAAAATAACATACCATTGTTTTTCCATATTTCAATTCTACGACTCAAATTACGCCAAATTACCAAGTTTTTTAAAAAATTAGCTCTCAAAATTTTAGCTCCGCAATGTTAATTGAGTTTGATATATATTTATTAATCTGTCTTTTTTATTAAACGTATTTGATTCTTCCTTTCACATTTCGAAATTCAGGTTCATTTCAAATAAAACTCGCTTCTTTTGTATGATTTATTTTTAAAATTTGTATTTTTAAATAATTTTTATAATGTTTTCAAAAACAATTTTGAATTATAATTTGTAAAATGTTTACCATCATCTTAAAGTAGACGTAGTTCTAAGCATACATGCAAAAAATTACATTGTTTTTTATTCAAAATTTCCGAAGATATACGTGAATTTATATATTGGCGCGTTTTGAAATTTGGCATATTTGTTGAAAGCGATAAAACATCAAATGCGGTTTGCTAAAATTATTTGAGAGTAGGAACGATGTGAATTTTTTTCCACCTAGGGCATAATAGAAGGGAAAGGAAAATTGATTGCCATATATTAAGAAGATCGCCAAGTGAATTATTCTTGGCGCAAACTGAAAAAATTGCGCCAAGATAAATTTTTGAATTTCTCCGTAAATTTCGCACCAAATTTTACAAAACTTAATATCTAGTATAATTTGAGTAGTAGAATCGAAATATGGAAAAACATTGGTATGTTATTTCAGGAAAAGTCCGATACCTGTGTTAGAACAATGCTAAATATATGTATCTAATATACAGGGTGCGGAAGGGAAACTTCCTTATTTGAAACGCGTGCCATCTAGCGACATTTATTCCGAGAAGGGTAATAACGCTCATTGAAAAGAGCGGTATCTAGTTTTATGTATGTAGGTTTAGTACCGATCATGCAGTGGACGAGAGAGGAGCGCGTGTTCTCCGTGGAATAGTACTTCAAAGTACTGCATTTTCATCCATATAAATTGGCATTGGTGCAAAAACTTAATCCACGCGATTTTCTGTCACGAAGAAATGCATGCAAAGCCATTCTTGACAATACGCGTCATGATTCCCTTGTGTTCTTTAGCGATGAGGGTCATTTTCATCTTTCCGGGTGCAGCATGCATTAAGCAAAACATACGATAATGGAGTGGCACGAATCCCCGAGAGTTTCATGAGCAGCCCCTCCATACAGAACGTGTTACTGTTTGGTGTGCATTGTCCAGAATAGGACCATGTTTTTTTTTTTTTTTTTTTTTTTGAGAACATTTCCCTGGACGCCTTATTTCCTTACGAGGCGATTGTCAGTGGCCAGTACGCTCGCCTGATTTAGCCCCGTGTGATTTCTTTTTATGGGGCTATCTGAAATCTCTAACTGCCGAAGACCCTGACTCAACTGAAGTTGGATCGGTATTTGTGTGCTGTGATACTACGAAAAGCTTTAGGCTGCCTGAAGCCTATTCTGTTTTTTCTTCAGAAATATTTGCCATCTATAATGTTCTAATATATATTTCTAAACAGCACTCCAAGAAATACGAACATCATATTAATATACGAACATTTCTAAACAGCACTCCAAGAAATACGAACTCGTACATCATCTATACGGATTGCAAAAGTGCCCTGATGTCGATGAAAATCTTCTATAATAATAACAACCCCTTTAGTTTGGGAAGTAGCTAAGCTAGATCAAAGTTTGAAACATCAGGGTTACAGCATCATTTACTGCTGGGTACCTGGACACGTTGGAATCAAGGGGAATGAATTAGCAGATATTGCAGCTAAGTCGCCTGTTGAAAGTGCCCACCAGTCTATTCCCTTTAGAGATATTCAGAAGGTCATCAAAAGCAGAATGTTAGATAAATGACAGAAGTTATGGGAGACTCGAGTGAACAATAAATTGAGACGTGTAAAAGACCGGGTGCAGTGTTGGGAATTGAATAGAAATCGTAAGGAGGACTCGCCTTCGTATCGGTCATTCAAGAATACCTCATCAGTATTTACTGAATGGAGGAAATGAACCTATATGCAGTTCATGTAGTTCTCTTTTATCCATTGAACATATTTTAATTAATTGTGCTCTTTTAATTCCTCAAAGATTACAGTTTTTTTCATAAAACAAATCCGACATTGATGGATTTAATTGGGGAACAATCCCATTTTAATATCTTTAGGTTTTTTAAAAGCAATCAAAATGTATCATAGCATTTAAATTTTAACTAGATCTGGTCATTTAACATAAACCAACTTTTGACAAGTGTTTTCCACACAGAGAATAGTTTTAAACATAGGTTTCAAATTTCAACTATTGCTGTCCTTTTATTTCATACCTTCATTTTGTTCTTATACTCAATTATGTCACGCAGTTATACTGTAATTTTGCATAGAAGTACTTTAGTGTGATTCTGGCGATTGTTTCCGTATTTCCACGTTTGTATATATAACCCTACGCTTAGCGCATCATAACCGCTGGGTTATGCGCCAAAACTCAACCCTATCAACCCTGGCTCAACTGAAGAATAATATTCAAGCTACTATCGACAACATACCCGTTGATATGCTGGTAAAAGTGGAAAGAAGCTTCAAAACTCGACTCTCTCAATGCGTTGACCAGAACGAAGGCCACCTTAATGATATTATTTTAAAACCGAAATAAAAAAAGTTTTAAGTGTCTTTCTATAACTTGGGAAATATTAAACTGATATCGCTTATACTATTTGTGTTATTCATTTTTAAAATAAGGTAGTTCTAATGCCGCACCCTATATATCCTAAATCGCGCTTACGAGACATGAAAAACGCAATTTGAAATTTGTCAATCGGTCCAGTAGAACGGAAGATGCAGATGTGTCCCCCCCCTTTTTTTGGCCCATTGTACCTAAGCCTTCGATGTTC